GGGCGGCCCCGCCTCCGGGTCGCGGCGCGTCTCCGCCGCCTCCCGCCTCCGCCGCCCCGCCCGCGCGCCCCGCAGGTGCACGCAGCTCCCCACGCGTCCGCGCTCGGCTGTGCGAGACCGGAGGTTAAGTGCCCGGGTCCGCTGAGTTGTCGAAAGCTTTGGCTCAACACGTAGTTCATCCTCTTCTTTTTTATTTACTTAAAAAAAATTGTTTTAAGAGTTAGCCAACAGCTGAGAAGGCTTAGAGGAATCTTGATCACTCCTGGCACGTGATTTTTGAAAGGGTTGCAACCCGCCTGCGCCTGGTCTAGCCTGGACCAGTGTTTCTGGAAGAGCAGACGAGAGATTCAGTCTAGCCGTGCCAAATTGGACACACTTGTACAGAACGGACGTGGTGTGCTGCTAACTCCAAACTCCTGCCGTCAGAAACCCCCTAGAAGTAGCTTACGCTGGGTTAGGTCCGCTGCGGACCCATAGAGGTAGGGAGGCTAGAACAAGGGAACCAGGGCTTTCACGCTAAAGCGGCTTCATGTACGTCGAATTATGAATACATACATATATATATATTATGCCGTGTTTTGCTGACAGAAGGCACATTTCATTCAACGGACAGGCGTTTGTTGTAGAAAGATAATTAGGCAAAACCAGAAATCTAAGTGAGGCTAGCATGACTAGGCCAGCCACTGCATATGCGTTTTAGTTTTAATAGGCATTTGTTATTATATAACGCTTATCCAGCGCCACACGTACAGCCTTTCTTTGGAGTATTTACGATCTATAAAACTAGCAGTGGAATTTTATATTACAAACCATCCAATTTCAAAAAAGCTAGATGGTTAGAGTGGAAAAATAATATTACTTTTGTTCTTAAGATCAAACCTTATTTTATAACCCTAGGGGGAAGTTGAAGATACATTTACTTATTTGCTGTAGTGATAAATGTTGCTATATTCATGATGTGCACTGTTTGTTCCAGGCCCTGTGCTAAGCACTTTACGTGCGTGCTCTAATGTAAACCCCCCTCAATCCCGTGGAAGTCGGTATTATTATCCCATTGTATTCATGTGAAACGGAGGCTCAGGGCAAGTACTTTAAGGAAACCGGGATCCGCTTTCCGGACTGTAAGGCCGCAGAGCTCACGTGCATAAGCTGCGTCTGGAAAGAAGCCACCCTGCCTTTTCTATTTATCTTCAAAGGGTTGGGTTGTAAGTGAGGCCTGGACGTTTTATTTCCGCACCATGAAGACTGGTCAAAGTGACATAAGAAAAAACAATCTACAGGACACTTCGTACGTCATTTCACATCCCGAATGTGAAGAGCAGGGTGGGAGACGAGGGGAACTGGTTTGAAGGGCTCTGGGGGACTGGGTAGAAGTGATCCCGGGTAAACTACGTGAAGGTCGTAACTGGAGCTCACGCTGTCGGGAATGGAGTAACGGTGTCTGCTCCTCGAGAACAAGCGTACACACCGCGTGTTAACACCAAGCACATTCTAAGGTAGGAGAGTGTTCTTATACAGTACCTGTAACACTTTAGCGGTAGCAAAAGCCGTTCAGTGTATGAGGATATCTTTAACTAAAAGAGAAAATACGAGACTGCATTGCACGGTGTAAGCTCTATGTATTGTTTTGTGGAATTCTGGTCCCAGCTGTGTGTGTTGTCCTCGGCTATCGGACACCAGAGCTGTAAAGGACAGAAAGCTTCGGGCCCAGCCACAGGGGCACGTGTTCCTAAACACTGCTTCTCCGCGAGCTGGGGCCACACGGGAGACCCCGCTGAAGCTGGGCCCTGTGACCTGACCCCTCTGCTGCTGAGGCTGGCCTGGGCCGCAGAGTGAGACCCTGTCAAAAAAAAGCCGTGTGAGGTGGTGGACACCTATAGTCCCAGGAGAGGCCGAGGCAAGAGGACCACCGCGTGGCGAGGTACTGTCTTTGAAGGAAAAACAAAACAAAACAGAACACACACACACACACACACACAC